AATTTAACAATTTACAGTCTACCGACTAGATGACTCGTATTATCTGATAACCCGACTGTACTCCTTACAGCTCTTCGTGGATCCCGTGCTCTCCTGCATCAATCCTTACCTACTGTTGCTAAAGCTCTCAGAGGAATCTGCTACCCTACAGCACTCCAAGCCTTGTGAATTCATTTATCTAACGACCCGTTCTTCACAGACAGGAACTCCTGTCACCTTCCTCGATCTTCAGCACCTCTAACAGATATATAGGAAATTTGATTTTTGGTATTTAGATTTTGAATCTGATGTTTTTTGGACCAAAACATTCACACAAGATGAAGATTGAATAATGGAATGAATAGATCTCTCACTGATGAAGCTCTCTTGAAATAACAACCTCAAGAAAAACGTTTTGTACGTGTTCTGGTATATATAGATAGGTCAAGAAATCATTGGGCCGAAACAAAAGCCTTTAAATCTCGAAAATAAAATTTTTCGTATAAAGTTGTCGCTCGAGTGAGGACTCGGCTACAGTTGAGTGACAGGCTGTCGCTCAAGCGAAGGAGTGGCGACACTCTAGCGATGCAATTTCTGTTTTTGTAGCTTGAGCCAACCCTTGGCGACAGTCTAGCGGAAATCCGCGCCATTTTTCTCCTTGTTCCAAACTCGAAACCGTATACCTATTTAACTAACTTTTAAACAAATTGTACATCATTTCTTGAATTTTGACACTCTATCAAATTAAGTCCTTTTATCCACTGATTTTATCAACTACAAAATCAACTAAAACCTAACAATAATGATTCAAGCGAATTCTTCCCGCATGTTTTTTGTCACGTCTGGTATAAACATCTCAGCTGGAAACAATTCTTGGCATGTTCAACCTTACGCGGGAAAGGCGAATTTAGGTGCAATGAAGTATGTTAAGGACTGGACAGTAACTTTAGCAAATAATAAGGATGACATTCCTATGTCTACTAAGAATCATAGTTTTCCAGCCATCCTTTTCTCATTTGGAGGATATTCAGGTAACCATTTCCATAATTCTCAGATTTGGTTATTCCAATATATTCGACATCGTTGAGGTTAAAGGGACGTACATTGTCTTACACTGATGCAAAACCGTGGTGGGTATCAAAATTCCGAGGATTGCTTAACAAACTATCCCGACATGAGATCATCGATATGGACAAAGAAAAAGAAGTCCATTTCTATACAAAAGTCGTCGTTGGCCTTAAATCTCACCAAGAGCTTATAATCAATCCATGAAAATCTCGAAACAATGAATTGTCGATGCACAATTTCAGACAGTTCCTTCGACAAACTTACTCACTCGATAGAGCAAAAGCGATCGCATTGAAGGAGGAGGGGAAGAAAAGGCCTCGTTTGATGATGATATCGAGGAAAAGGACTTGTTTCGTAACAAACGATGCTGAAATAACTCGACTGGCTCGCAAAATGGGATTCGGAGTTATTGTAGACGAGGCTAATCGTTCGACAAACCTTTCAAGATTTGCACAAATAGTGAATTCTTGTGATGCACTAATGGTAGTTCTTGGAGCTGGATTAACAAACATGGTTTTTCTCCCGAATAACGCGGTTTTAATCCAAATAATTCCATTAGGAGGCATTGATGGATTTGCTAGAACAGATTTTGGAGAACCATTTGACGGTATGAACTTAAAGGACTTGGAATACGAGATTAAGGTTAAAGAGAGTTCCTTGAGTAAACAGTATCCATTGGATCATCCAGTTATTAAAGATCCAAGATCTTTCCATATCAAGGGTTGGGATGTTCTTAGGAAAACACACTTGGATCTGCAAAATGTGACAATTGATTTGCATAGGTTTAGACGAACATTGGCTAAAGCTATCAAGATTTTACATCATTAGCTTGACTTTCATGTTATGTACTTATTTCTGTTCATTTTTATGTATTCTTTTCAATTATCTATTCATGTGGGAAAGATCTGGTTTTGTAATCTTGGTTTCCCACTCCACCCCCACCAAACCTTATTTGTTAATTCTTATATCGACACGAAAACAATAAAGGGCGAAGGGTCCAAGGATCGGATTGGGGCTCATTTTTACGAGACGAGCTGGTTCAGTTCAACTTGTCAAAAAATCATTTTCTTTTTTCAATTAGAAGAGTTGTTTTTTTATCGTGGATCATTAATGTGTAATTTGACCTTCAATTAAATTGGCGTAAATTAACTAAACTAAGTCGAAATTTATTTTTAGGAAATTTTGACGAAAGTATGTTGCAGTAATTATAAGTGAAACTTTTCTCATACTTTCATAAAAAGGATTTCTCTTACCCAAACAGGGCCTTACTTGTTTACCAAAACATATAGGTTATACAACCAAAAAATAGCAAAGCATGTGTGGAAGTTGTTTGCAAAGTTTAAATTATGAAGGAAATTGGCACAGAGGGTCCCTAACTTATGGCATTGTTGTGCACATGGTCCATAACTTCTTAATCTTGACGCAAACATCTTCACACTTTTCCTTAATTAGCATAATAAGTCCTTTAGGATGGTTTCCATCTAATTGATAGTTAAAAGGGTCAAACTTTTGATATAAAGACTAAAATGTACTCACTTTAATTCATTAAATAAAAAGGAAAAATAAAAATATAAGACAAAACTCATCCTACCAACCAATCCCTATCTTCAATGCAATATCAATTGCTTAAAAAATTGTCATATAAGCAAAATAAAATGTATTTTAAAAAAATTATCTTTAATGCAAGTTGTATGGACTCCGCAAAAATGATGTGATAGAGAAAAACATAGCAGTCTAAATTCAAAAGCTCAGTTAGATACGTTAAATCGGCAAAATTCATATTTCATATGAAGATTTAAATGCGGTTTTATTAATATTTTAAGATAATAAAGACACATAAATAACAATCCTTAGAATGCATTGAAAACCAATTTGAACTTGAGTGACTGCTTATTAGATATCAATGTCATGTAGATTCAAAATCTTTTAATATTTTCTTTTTTACTACCATATCTTAAGATAGTCCTTATTAGAGTTTTTTTATATAAATATTTTCTATTTTCGCTTATATGATACAATTTTTAAAGCATGGACTTGCACTGAAGTTGCACTTATGAGAGATTGGCTGGTAGGATGAAATGTATTTTATTAAGGGAAAATTGCAGAAATGGTCCCTAACCTTTTCAATTTTTGCAGACTTTACTCTACCCTTCATTTTGTGTCAGCGAAGGTCCCAAACCTTTCATAAATATGCAACTCGAGTCCAAATGGAAGATTGTAAGATGCCTATGAGGTGTCTGATTTAATGATTAAAATTCCGTGATTAAAATGGTTGGTGGAGAAGGTGGAGAGTGATAACGGCGGGTTGTGGAAGAGCAATTGGTTTTTGTTTTGGGATGAAGGTGGAGGTGAAAATTGGTGGGGAATGCAAAGGCTGTGGCTATGAAGAGTGGTAGATGCGGGTTGTGGCGTGGAAGAAGGAGGAGGTGAGGGCTGATTCTAATTCAATTTTGGTGGGGTGAAGTTGGGGGTGGGGTTAGGGGAGATGAACAAATCCTTTTATTACGTTTTTTAAAATTGTTTTATGTGAAAAGTAATGAATTTACCACTTCGCCGATTTTAGATTTGATCAAAATCAATTTTATTAGTTAATTAGCCGTCAAATAGATTGTTTAATCCATTTTGACTCCAATTGCATATTTATAAAAAGTTTGGGACCTTCACTGGCACAAAATGAAGATTAATGTAAAGTCTGCAAAAATTGAAAATGTTATGACCACTGCTGCAATTTTTCCTTTTATTAGTGTCATATTTTTTAATTTTTTTTTCTTTTCAACTTATTTTATTCTATTCTATTCTATTATTTATTTTACTATAAGTTAAGGGCATTTTAGTATTTTTATTCTAAAATTTGACTTTTTTAAAAGTTAATTGGATGGAAACCATCTAAAAGGACAAATTCTGCCTATGGAGTGGAATGTTAGGGATATTTGCGCCAAATTTTATATGTTGGAGATCATTTGCATAGCAACCACATAAGTGAAGGACCATTTGAGCCAATTTTTTCAATTATTGATAAATAAATAAGTGAAAGATATGTGAATACTGCCAGTAGGTTTTCACAAAATAAATGAATAATTGTAGTTTGATGGATTATAAAATTTATAAAGGGTAAGTGGAAATCTAGAAATCTATTTTCTCACCCTGCTAATAATGTGTAAATTACTAGTACACAAAAACATGTATTGGACAGAAGTTGAAAACAAAAGGGGAAAGAATTATTTTTGTGCATGAGTAATTTTGAATTGTGAACTAAAACAAAGTTTAGTAGTATAATAGTATAAAGTGAGCCAACCCATTTTGACACCGCTACAAAGCGTTGAATTATTGCCATGAATCATGATACAAAATCTAATTATGAGTTTATGAATATCTAAATTCAGTTCAAGTTTTTGAGAAGTTTAAAGATAAGTAAAAATTAACTCGTGGGTAGTGTTAGAATTTGGGTGTGACTTGAATTTCATTTGAGAGGTCTGTTGAGTTGATTATATGACTTGAAGAAGTAAAAGATGACAAGGAAAAGAATTCGACGGAAGACCGCTTGCTAACCTCGCAGGAGACGCTCGAGTGTTAATTTCAATAACTCCACCGCTTGCTAACCGCTTAGCCAGCGCTCGAATGGTCGTGTTATCCGGCCAAAAGTCTAATTGCGATTTTAATAAATTTTAGACTCCTATTCCACCTCAAATACTCCATTGTTTGTTAGACCTATTATAACATGATTTTACCTTATGTTAGACCCTTCTTTGTATTATATATGAGGAGTAAACCTCTGGAAAAAATTATCCTACACAAGATATTAGTGAATTCTCCTCATTTGCTCATGATTTTTTTAGTAGTTAGATTTTCATGTAAATCTTGTGTTATTATTATTTTTCATAATGTCATATTCTTGTTTGATTTTCAACAAATTGGTATTAGAGTAAATTGGTATATGTTTTATTCTAATAAATGGTATTAGAGGGATGTTTGATTTTTCGTGTGTGGCAAGTATGAAGTTCAATATTTGGCTTTTGGATTGTAACACTAGATTTTTCGTGTGTGGCAAGTATAAAGATACGAATAGTGCTCGTTTATATGGATTTGGATGATGCATTGCTAGGGTTTGATAAGATGCCCTCAACTGGTTAAAGTTGAAGCAGTTATTGATGACGAAAAGTCTAATCAGTAAATTACATTTGAAGTAACATTTATATTCTCATCGTATGATAGAAGGTGGATCTATAGAATATCACCTAATTGTATTTAAGAAAATTGTCCCTAATTTGGAGACCAAGGATGTTAAGTACGATGAAGAGGATTTAAGGTTGATTTTATTGTGTTCGTTGCCCACTTCTTATATGACGTCAGAGACATCATCTTGTATTTTCTTGAAACATCACCATTGATTAAGTTTATAATGCACAATTTTCCAAGGAGAATATGAAGTAGCATGTTGATTTGAGGTCGACACAAATAGCCTTATTGTTCGTGAAAGTTTTACTGATGGTTATGAGATGGAAATAGTTACGTCTAGTTACAATGATAAAATATGTAATTATTGCAAGAAAGGGAGGCACATCAAAAGGGATTGCTATAATTTATAGAATAAGGATAAATTAGCTGCTGCAAATCGGAACGGTAAAAAACCTGAAGTTTCAGGAGAAGCTAGTATTGCAGAAGATGGTTACAGTGATAGAGAAACCTGAAGAGGATTAGATTCTTGATACAATTTGCACGTTTCATATGTGTCCTAATCGGGATTGGTTTTCAACATATGAAACTATTTCTAAAAGTACTATAACAATGGGAAATGCACTCGTAAGATAGCTAGTATTGAAAGTGTCAGAATTATGATGTTTATGTGACTGTCAAGACATTTGGTAATATGAGACATGTTTCAGATTTAAAAATAAATCTTATTTTTTGAGTACTCTTAATTCAAAAGGGTACAAGTACACTGATAAATGAGGAGTTTTGAAGGTTAGCAAATGTGACTGTGTTGTGATGAAGTGCAGAGAAAGTCCCAGTTATATGTCTTGCAGGATTCCACATAATCTATTGATATAAATTAGTAGAAATTAAGCACTCATGTGGAGTTTGAGATTGATTCAGAACTGTTGGAGTTTGGTTTAGGGTCTATATTAGAGAATATATCTCAATCTAGTTCAGAAGTTAGGGGTAATGCCGCTTTGCCACAACCACTAGTGGTGCTACATTATTCTATAGTTAGACATACAAAAAAGATAGTAGGCCTTCATAGAGGTACAATGAGACTGATTTGGTTTCTTATGCTTTGAATGCAATTGAGTTTGAGTAGGGCTTGAACTTGGTTTGTATTTGTTGTTGAGTTTGCCCTTAGTGGTTTTTGTAGAAGATGTGGAGAGTTTTTGTTGGAAATTTTTTGTTGAAGAGTGAAGTTTGTTCCTTGCATTAAAATTCGTATCATGGTAGAGATTTGTTAGAATTTGGGTTTGACCCGAATCCTATTTGGGAGTTGGTTATATGTTTTAAAAGAGTCTTGAAGAAGTAAAAGACGATAAGTAGAAAATTCAATAGAAGAACGCTAACAAACTGCATAGGAGGCGCTCGAGCATTAATTTCAATAACTCCACCGCTCACTAACCGCCGGACCAGTACTCGAACGATGGATTGACCATTGGCTAGCCACAAGACCACCGCTTGAGCAATCGTGTTACCTGGCTAGAATTCTAATAATCATTTTAGTAGTTTTTGGACTTTTATTCAACATCAAACATTCCATTATTTGTTAGGCCTATTATAACAGGACTCTACCTTATGTTAGACTATTCTTTGCATTATATATATGAGGAGTAAACCTCTTAAAAAATCATTTTACACAATTTGTAATCTTTCATATTTGATATTAGTGAATTCTCACCTTTTACTCGTGGGTTTTCCCTAGTTGGATTTTCACGTAAATCTTGTAATTTTGTTATTATTTTTCAGATTGCCATATTTTCATTTGAGTTTCAACAATTTGGTATCAGAGGAAACTCGAATCCGTTTTTATTTTAACATGTAATTTTTTGTATCCAAACATATTTGAATGCATAATTTTTAACTTATTTTCATGGTTAACCAATACAAAATGTATTTATTTTAAAACTTAACTTGTTAGTAAACTTTTTAAACTTAGCCAAATATTCATGAAAATCACCTTCTGATTTTGCTCAATAAACATAAATCTTCTGCTACTATATAAATTTCCCACAACAATTACATTTTACTAAAAAAAATCTCAATTCTCCCAAAAAAAAACCACCTAAAATAACTACATTACAAATAAGAAATTGAAACTCTAACCTATTAAAACTCAAAATTGTTCAAACAAATGTGATTCAAACTCAAATCGCTACAAAAAACTCAGCAGGCGGGCAAATCACGAGGAGGTGGTAGCACACATTGCGACGGTTTTGGTCCCTTTTCAACTATAAATCCCATGGCTAAACCCCAAGTTGTATGTTCTTCAAGATGGCAATGTATAAACCACACTCCTGGATTGTCTGCATTTAAATTGTTGCCCACCATCCTATTGGAAATGCCACTGTGTTCCTTTCTGGAGGATCCACCAGATTGTAATAACTTGAATCCTTGGAAGAATCGAAATTCCCGAATCCCCTTCCAACAACGAAGAAATTGTGTCCATGAACATGGATTGGATGGTTTTCTGGATTCAGAAAGTTAGTATCTTGTAGCACTATTTCTAGTCTTGTGCCATAAGGTACCTCGATAATTTTCGTGCCAAATTCAATATTCATATTTTTCGACAGGGGATCCAGGCCAGTGTACTTAAATTCATGTGGTGGCTTTCCCAAGAAGTCTAAGGTGTTGATCTATGGTTGACATCTCGTTTTGATTATCACAAAGAAATTATTTTTATCTCTAACAGTTTGATTTCAAATATCTATAGTGATTATTGCATAGAGTAAATAACATAAAGTTCGAGGTCAAGTAATTTGCGCACAAGATCGACATGGAAACAAATTCGTAAATCGAGAGTATGAAGAACAATATTGAAACCCATGAAAAGTAGCCTAAAAAAGAATCGAGACAAAAGTCGATGAACAATCAAGCAATGTACGCCAAGATGTTTAAAACATTATGCTTAAATGTTTTACATTCATGTAAAGGTAAAATGCTTCAATACTTGGCAAATGATCACTAAGAGCTCAAAGTAAATTTTTATGCTTAAGAAAAATTATTTTCAAATCAAATGATTGCATAAAATCTTTATCAAGTCACTTACCTTTAAAATAATACGTGAGAAAGTACTTCAAGAAAATACATCAAACAAAAAATTACGCAAGAAATGTCCGGGGGCCAAATGCCCATCTGGAAGTCCGGATAAGGATTCGGACGGTCACTTTTTTGACAGTTCTGACATCCTCAAATGGCTAGTTTATTACACGATCCGGACGTCTGGATGCCTTGTCCGAATGGACAGAGTTTTGGCCGGTTTAAGTGATATAAATACCTCACTCACTTTTTATTTGGAACAACTTTTTTTTGGGTATTAAAGTGAAGCTTTTATTGATCACAACCACCTTATTATCTATCATTAAGAAGATCAATTGTCATAAAATTCTTGAAAAACTTTTGAGTAATTAATTTTGTGAAAATCTTTGGTCCTTCATGAAATTTTTCATTTTAACACTTTGAACTATACTCATTGCCATCTATTGAAGTGTTTGCCTCTTCTCTTCTGTTATTAACCTTGAATCTATCATTCGATAAAAAGAGAAGATTTCACTTGTAATTCATTTTGAGTTGTGGGTTGTGTTGAGGTCCCAAAAAAACTCAACTTTGTAAAAGGATCGGGGCTAATTTGTTGTAAGTCACCAGACGTGTTGTAAAGGGTTGGATTGCACTACAAGTCAATCAACATAGTGAAAAAGGCCTTACTCATGATGGAGAGTTTGGTAACTGGGGTTTTAGATCATTGCGTTGGATCGAACCTCCATGATATATCGTTTACACTCTCTATCCCTTTTACTTAACGTTTTACTTTGTACAAGCTTATATCATTTCATCTACGTGCTTATTTTCGTTTAGTTTATCTCTTTATCATTTGTGTGATTATTAATCTTTAGTAGTTAACGAAAAAGTTTTAAAAACCAATTCACCTCCTCTCTTGATTAGCCAATCTTGGACTTTCATAAGGAAAGTCTAGCCCGGAGTTTCTTGTAATGTATTTCGAGTAACGACGTGGAAAGACGAATGAATGATTGGTTTTTCATCGATGCATAGAATCTTTTGTCTCTATAGCCTTTACATGTTTGATTGGGAGGACAATGTTGTAGACTTAGGCTTATAGTCGCGATGACTTGTCTGTCGACTTTCTTGGGAACTCTGCACGGGTATTTAGTCAATGCAAGACAATGGAATCCATTCAAGAAAAGCGCGGCAAATCCCGTGTCCTCCATTGGAGGGAGATTATGAGGTAACAGTGGCACTGACGATAGCATCGGAGTTCGCTTTTCCTTCTTGAAAGTCGAGGTTTTATATTTCAAGAAGCCAATCGTGATTGAATTATCAAATTGGAAAACTGAAGTGAGATAAGGCCTAGCAGTCATAAAAAACATGTTTGTGGAATCTAGGATTTGGTTTGCTGTTAACAGTACATTTGTCGTTTGCCCTGGGCAATCTTTATGGCTGATGTTTCAAAGGCCGTGTGTGTTTGGTCATCCTTTATGTCATCCATTATGTTTTTGTAACATGGCCATTTGTATAGAAAACATAAATTTCTACAATAGTTAATGTATGATTTGCCATAGCAAAGAAAAGCTCAGAGTTTAGAGCTGCATTAATGATTCTTAGCAAGTAGGTTTTGCCTTGTTCAACTCTCTGGATAAACGTATCTGCAATTACATTGAAAATAACCATATATGAGAAAAAAATTATAATTTTTTGAACTTTGTTATTAGAGTCTCACATTAGTTGGTGATATTTACAGGATCCACTTAATAAGGTGAGGGCAATCCTTCCCTAACAAGTCGATTTTGTTAGGTTGAGTTAACCCAAATATCATTTCTAATATGATATCAGAGTAGGCCCAGTTTTGCACCCAACATCAATTTGTTCATAGTTGTTTGACATGGTCTACGTTGTGCCTGAGGGGGCATATTAGAGTCTCATATTGGGTGATAATATTTACACGATCTACTTAATAAGGTAAGGGCAATCCTCCCCTAACAAGCCAATTTTGTTAGATTAAGTTAGACCCAATATCCTTTCTAATAATTGTAGCAAAGGTTCGGAACATATGGCCTATGTAGCAAGTTAGTCACCAAGCCCCTTTTCGATGAAGTTTTTGAGATTTCAAGCGGGTTTAGCCTCTTACCCGAAAGGGACATATAAACAAACTTCTAACGACTAGCGAGCTTTCAATCGACTTGTAATAACCATCTTGCGTTGTTGGTTTTCTTTTAGCCACTAGTGGAAAACCCATTACAGTTTTTGAAAAAGAAAAATCATCTAAATATCGCCTTCATCACCTTGTCCTATTTCATATCTTGGAAATAAACCTTGTTGGGCTCGTTCAGTATTGTAGATTATATATCACTGTCCATTATACTATCGAGTCGACTACTGCGTTCCAACTACCAAACCTGTCTCGACTTATGCCAGAAAATTCTATCGCTTATTATTTCAAGCATCAATTTTGTGGTGACTTTAGTTGAGGTAATCCTTTCAGGGCACCACATTGTGAACCCATGCATGAAAAAACAAAGGCAAATTTAGGTAGCATCAATTAAGGGATCTTCATCTTGACCTTGAGTGATAAGTAGGTGCATTTTAAGCAAAGTAGTGGCACTTTTAAGTGCATATTTTTCCATCAAAGTGAGCAATTTCTGCTTGAATTGTGAGTAAAGATGTATGCTCCCATATTAGCAAAAAGCTTTAGCAAATTTGAGCGCAAAAGAATTGGGTTTTGTGCATTCTCCATAAGCTTGATCGTTGCACTGAGCATTTGCTCGACTTTCAAGCCTCGTTTGCATCCCTTATCGATCAGTAAGTCTTTTTTGGCAAATTCACAGCGTGTGATGCTAGACACTTACTAAACAGTACAATGAAAAAGTTTTTAACTTATTTTTTGTTCTTTGTGATGTCGAGTGCGGGTACAACTCGACCACTTTAGTCATTTGGTTTACTCATTTGAGAATTTGGCTCTTTGTTGCAGTTGGTGATGCTATGAATTTGGAGTTGTCAATTGATGCCATTCAGGACAAGCTATCCCGGCCAACAGGTATACTGCTTGCTAAAAAATTGATATTTTCTAGGATCAGTTGTCGAGTGGCACGACTGACAGATGGTTATGATAGAGCTTCGTGTTTCATATTTCGTGCATGAAATGCTACACGCTATATACGAGGCTCAATCAGAACCGTCAATCATGCTATTTGCGACGGATGTGTTTAAGCAGAAAGGCCTTTGATGCGGGAACTTTGTTTCAAATTCTTCCCTTTTCATTGCAGTTGAAAATGCTGCATTGGAAGTGACTCCGATAAATGCAGCTCGAAATATTGTTATAGTTAACGACACGAGTGAAAGCTCCCAACCAACAGGTAAAATTTTACTAAAGATGTGATGTTTATTATCATCCATACTCGATAATAATAAGGAAGAAAATATTATCTATTGTATTGTCGAGTACTGTCTAATGCTCATAAAAGGCCTTATGATAAAGAGAAATCAGATTGAGTTCTTTCCCCTTTCATTACAGTTGAAAATGCTCCAAATTTATCTATAGTCAGGACTGTTCCAAATAAGCTTATAGTTAACGACACAATTGAAAGCTTCCAGTCAACAGGTACGTGCGCTAGTACTTTTTAAGTACTGATCAGTAAGCTTGCTGGAAAGCCAGCAGTGTCTCACTTTGAATTCTGAACTCAGTTTCTTATTTGCAGCAATTGAAAAGATGAAAATTCAGCCAATATGCAGGATCTTAAAACCAATGGCAGATTATTGTGAAATCGAAGGGGATGTAAGGATTCAAGCGAATTCTTCAACTGTGTTTTTTTTCACGTCTGGTATAAACGTCTCAGCTGGAAACAATTCTTGGCACGTTCAACCTTACACTAGAAAGGCGTATTTAGGTGCAATGAAGAGAGTTAAGAACTGGACAGTAACATTAGCAAATAATAAGGATGGCATTCCAATGTGTACTAAGAATCATAGTTTTCCAGCCATCCTTTTCTCAGTTGGAGGATATTCAGGTAACCATTTCCATGATTTCTCAGATTTGGTTATTCCATTATATTCGACATCGTTGAGGTTCAAAAGGGACGTACAGTTTCTTACGACTGATACAAAACCGTGGTGGGTATCAAAATTCCGAGGATTGCTTAACAAACTATCCCGACATGAGATCATCGACTTGGATAGAGAAAAAGAAGTCCATTGCTATACAAAAGTAGTCGTTGGCCTTAAATCACACAAAGAGCTTATAATCAATCCTTCAAAATCTCAAAATAATGGATTGTCGATGCACAACTTCAGACAGTTTCTTCGACAAACTTACTCACTCGAGAGAGCAAAGGCGATTGAGTTGAAGAAGGGGGAGAAGAAAAGGCCTCGTTTGATGATTATATCCAGGAAAAGGACTCGTATTCTAACAAACGACAATGAAATAACTAGCCTGGCTCGTAAAATGGGATTCGAAGTTATTGTAGACGAGGCTAATCTTTCGACCAACCTTTCAAGATTTGCACAAATAGTGAATTCTTGTGATGTACTAATGGGAATTCATGGAGCTGGATTAACAAACATGGTTTTTCTCCCGGATAACGCGGTTTTAATCCAAATAATTCCATTAGGAGGCATTGATGGATTTGCTAGAACAGATTTTGGAGAACCATCTGATGGTATGAACTTAAAGTACTTGGAATACAAGATTAAGGTTAAAGAGAGTTCTTTGAGTAAACGGTATCCCTTGGATCATCCACTTATTAAAGATTCAACATCTCGTCGTATCAAGGGTTGGGGTGGTCTTAGCAAAATATACTTGGATCAGCAAAATGTGACAATTGATTTGCATAGGTTTAGAGGAACATTGGCTAAAGCTATGAAGATTTTAAATCATTAGCTTGACTATCAAGTTACGTACTTATTTTTGTTCATTCATATGTACTTTTTTGAATTATCTATTCGTGTGGGAAAGAGCTGGTTTTGTAATCTTGGTTTCCCCTTCCACCTCACTACACCTTACTTGTTACTTCTTAAATCGACTTGAAAACAATAAAGAGTGAAGGGTCGAAGGATCAAATTGGGTTCAAATGTCCGAAGCTATTTGGAAAGTCGGTAAAATATTGGGAGGGTGGTTTAAATATCTCAATTTTTATCATTGAACTTTAAAAGTTTTTCAGTTGTCACTGATTTCTTAAAATGTTTCTCGGTTGTCATTGAAATTTAAAAGTTTTCAGAGTTGCTACTGAAGTTACGAATATGTTAATTCATACATTACTTGCTTGTTGAAAAGTTAAAAGAGTTGATAACAAGGCAAGAGGAATTTTCACACGTAGCATGCTTCAAAATTAAGATATGCCACATCATTAAAACCATTAATGACGAGCATTTTTAAAAAGGTGAGTGATGAGTGACATATAAGATAGAAATATGTTCGTAAGTAAATCGGCTATTCAAAAAACTTTTAAAAATTTATCGACAATTCAAAAAACTTTTAAAAAAGTTAATCGGCAATTCAAAAAGATTTTAAAAATTCAATGGCAACTGAGAAATATTTGAGGAAGTTTAGTGACAACTGGGATATTTAACCGTAATGAAACTTTCGAGAGGTCAAAAAATATAGATAGAGGATCAAATTCTTGATTCATGAAAGTTTGAAGACTAGTATTGCAAATTTCTCTATTTTCAATTGTGATAAAATCTCTCTCCACGCCGACACTACACAAAAACACGCTTTCTGAAAGAATTTAATTGGTGGAATCACTTTCATGTTGGCGAAAGGAAATAATTTATTTGTCTTATTAAATGTTTGCTGAAATTAATATTTAATTTTGACATTAAAATTATAATGAGATGATAATGAAATCCAAACAAGCAACAAGTGAAAGAAATTGATATATACGCTTTGATTCAACGAGATTTTATATGTACATTTGAAGAGAAGAACAATTAGCATTGCAATTTATCAACTTTGCCAAAGGAGGTGGTCGATTTCACGAAGGAAAATATTAATATCTCGTAAAATTTTAAGCAAGAATTTAAATTTGATAGAAAACGTGGAAGAAAACTTTTTTCACGTTAAAAAAAATTTCTTTATAGATAGAATTTTCTTAAATTTCGAAGTATATTTGTGCAAAAGAAGAGAGACATGGCATAAATTTTGCCGATTTTCATATGATTTAGAATTTGTCAAAATTGTTCAAACATGAATCTTAAAATTTCCAAAATTTCTTACTAATCGGCAATGTTGATAAATAAAAAACTTAAAAGTTTCATTCAT